ATTTTAAATATATAATATTGTAATATAATATATTACAATTTTACAATTTATAAATGCTCATAATATATAATAATATTGCATGTTCGTTTTTGAAAATTATCATGTGATTTTGGTATTTCAAATACATTTTTTTATTCTTATGCTTAAATACCTACGGAAATTTCATCAACCAATTTTTACTTAAATTAGTCTTTAAGAGTACCTACACTTTTTCAATACTATTTTTACTATTCCTTTTCTAAATCACAATAATTACCTAATACAATATATAATAGATATTTACTGTTTTACTCTTCAATTATTAAAAATGTTTTGAAATAATAAACATTTTAAACATATTTCCCATTATCAAACCAATTTTTCTTTAGTCTACATTTATAATCATTTTAATACTTGTTTTAAAATATTTATGTCCATTTTCAAATTTAAATTTATTTCTAAATACTAAATGTCTAAATCTTCATCAACTAATATCAAGTGAAATATCAATTTAAACGGTTTTGGTTTAAAATTACTGTCTTAGAAATATTTTTTACACTAAGATATTCCTAGTTATATTACGCTATCTATATCTAGTGATAATATATAAATATGTACATGTTGAAAGTTGTGTTGGAAAATTAAAAACCAGTTTCAAGCTCTTTTTGTGAACATCTTATATTAAGGTAAGTAGTCAAAGTTATAGAAATCACTTAATTGTTGTCCAAAGTGACCTTTTTATTTTTTCATATCTTGATTGCAAGTTGCAACCCATTCAAAAGTAATGGAGAAATACTCTTTTTAGTGGTTATTAAAACTTATATTTTTTGTATAAGATAGATATGCATACAGCGATTACCATATTCATATAAGCGAACAATATAACATACTACCAATCAAAAAACAAAGAAAAAAATTTGAGAATAAAAAATATTCCAATAATTTTGAATTCATAAGAATCAACCTATTTATAATTTATTTAAACAATTTATGCCTTTTCCTTATGATTTGTTTATAAGACACATTATATGATGCATTAATAATTTTAAATCTTTATTTCTTTGTTCTATAACAAGAATTTACAATTATTAAGCATTATATTATTGTATAATTAATACTATTATGAGTTGACTGAAAATATTGATTTATTTATCTATAATTTTTAAGGACTAACCAATTTAAAAACAAAAATGTGTAATGAATACTTAAATAAATTTATTTACTATATAACAATATAGATACTTAGATAAAATAGGGCTATTTTAATTTGATCCACAATAATTATGCATTTTCAAGTAGATATTACTATAGTAGAATGATTATTGAATAATAAAAAATAGAAACACCATTCCAATCATAAAAAAGTATTTAATTAATTAATAATATTTAGTTGTCTACCGCATTACTATTTAGGTACCTAACTTCCATCATTAACTTGAAACTGTTCTACTAATACTTAGAGCCAGGGGTTTTGGATTTGTGAGAGTGATTTTAAAATATTGTAATGTGTTTGAGTGACCTTTTTTAATATCCTGTGATGAATTTGGGCTGTGTTTTATCAATTCTTTCATTCTGACAGACTCCGTGAATTCCACGGGTAAACCATAAGATGCTTTTTCACTGTTTTTCAATTGGTTAGGTTCACTAAAATCATTTTTAATCAAATGTATTACGTTTTGTAGTAAAAATGTTTCAATATTAGGATTATACATAATAACTAACACTATAACAAATTCATGTTTCTACTGTTTGCACAATACTGATATTTGTGTTATAATTATTATGTTTAGATTGTTTTAATATGTAATATAATATTTGATAATCTTTATAATTTGATCTTCTACATTTTGTATTGTATTTATTATACTTAAATACATTATTAGGAACTCAAACATATTTATATGATCTCTCTTCTGCCCTCAGCCTGATTTTTTCTTGTGTTTTGTGCCAAAGGTATTCAATTTCTCTAACTCCTGGTAGAATAATTGTATCTGGCTAAAATTTACAAAACTAATAACTAAAAAATAAATGTTGGATCCTCCTTAAAACCACTCTTGACATTGACGCCATATATTCAATAACCTCCTCAATTAAAATTCTGCTCTAGCAGTCACAAGCCACGCACAACCAGATTTCACTCTTAAATAATACTTACATTTCTCTTAATGTTAAGCACCCACTTGTTGAATGTGGAAATGATTTAAATACTCTATAGACAAAGCATAATTCAACTGTTTAAAAAAAGCATAGCTACTAAAATTATAAAAAAAAAAGTTAACACAGGTATACTCGTTTATCTTGTCTTCAACTAATAATTTGTTCTTATGTAAGTCCAACAAAAAGTGTATTAATAATAAACAATTATTTTCTTCGTTTTGTAAGTCCATTTATTTGACGGCCACTACAAATATTGTTAAATCCTATATTTTCATTGTTGGTGTATTTAAACCACAATATATCCCAATTTAACTCATATTTAAATTATTGAACATTTTCTGGAATCCCCTATTTTTTTAGATATCCTAAAATTTTTCAAACCTTCGAACCTTTGGAAACTATACTTTTCAGTACAAACAACAAGTTATTTCAGTAAATTTATTAATACCGTTCGTAAGTCCCCAATGAATCAATATAGCTCCTCTTCTATAAACTGTTTTTGTCAAATACACTCCAAATTCTCTTCTTGCATAAATTGTTACCTATACTGCCATACTGGTAACACAATCATTTTGGTTTCATATAATAGCTCCTAATAGTTAAAAAATTGTATTTAAATTTTTATCAACAATATATTATGTATAGAAATATAAGTGTATGGCCAATAAACATGTTTTAATTTAACTCCCAATTGTAATAAAAAAACATAATTTTTATCATAGATAATTAACCTAACTAACAAATTAAAAAAAATATGTTTAAATTTATCATTCAATTTTCATTTTTCAATTATCATTCAACAAAATTTTCATTCGGATTTTTTCAGGAGGTTTCCTACATACTTGACGCATCTTCATCAAGTTACAAGTGGAAGGTTATACACAAAATGTATGGTGCCTTTTGGTAAATCACATATTTTATCAAAAAATGTCTCTAATTAAACATTATAAATTGATATGATCCTGAATTCTATTAAAATTTAAAAAAGATTTTAATACATTGAAATAAATGTTTATGTTTTCTTAATTAGTAATTAAATTTAAATCTTATTAAACTATCAAAGTTGTAATTATATTTTCCTTTTTATTTGTTTAAGTATTAAACCATACATTTTTAAATCAATTTTCTTTTAATAAAATAATAAAAATAGTTCCAAACTGATACATAGATACTTCAGGTAAACATACACATAAACATATTGGTGTGTATCTTATTAAAATTATTTCATAAAGCCACGTTGCTTAAAAAAAAAATAGCATATATAAAAGACCACAATTTTATATCAATGTAATTATGTTTTAATATTGTTTATGGTTAACCATTTGTTTTTTCTTTGTGTAAATAATAATTACAAGTCCAATACCATCACATATTTATTACTCATTTGAATAATGTATATTTTATCAAAACATGCTCATCAGTATTGGGTAAGTTAAAATTATTATTTTTCTGAATATGTTTATATACCTAATGGCATGTATGTAATGTGTTTTCATATTATATATATTATACAAATAAATTTAAACATCTATGGCTTAAATTTAAATTGATTGTATTTTTAAATTTCAATTAAAATAAAATAATGATTAATTTTATTTGTTACAATAAGTGATACCTACATTTGTTATTGTTATAATTTATTTAATTTAAGTAATTATCATTATATTTAATTATTTTTATGAAATTATTATTTTTTAAATATAATATTTACCTATAGACTGAAGTGAACTATAAAACAATGTATTGCTGAATTACTTTGTGTTTAATATGAATAAAATWAAATATGTGTTTATAAGAATTGTATTTTGTCTTAAATATTTATCAGAGTTCTAAAACAAATCTATATTTATCGTATTGTATTTAATGATAAAAATAATTAATTGTATTCCATTTAAAATAAATACAAATAGATATAATCTCCTTAATCAATTTGGATAAGTAATTTTTTCTTTTAATTATTATTTTTAATTTATTTAATATTTTTATTAAGTATTAAATGTTATACAATTGTTTTATCAACATTCAGTAACTAGTGTAATTATTTCTTTAAACGCTTTTCAAATAATATTATTTTTACTTGGATTATGTTAATGACACTAAAATGTATTAGTCCGATACAAATTAACCATTCTTTGATATATTATAAGACCAAAATCTAAGTCAATTTATCTTGATTTGAATTAAATAGGTAACTATCTGTAACATTTGATTATRCAATACATTATGTATTATTCATTTTGTCAAATAACTACTATAAAATAGAATGCTTTACACAAACTTAATAGTTGTAAATTATAGTACCATATTACTATACTGTTTATACTCACTATTTCTGTAAACATTTATTTTTATTTTTTTTAAGGTCATTATACTCCATATCTTTTCAAATAAAGTGAATTCTTTTATTTAATTAAACCAATACTTAAGCTATAAATAGCTAAGGGTTTTATGATTGATTTTTGCTTGCATACGGAAAATAATTTCTAGAAAGCTTTAATTGTAAATAACCAATATCCATAATAAATAATGTATAAGTCAAAGACACATAATATCAGGTAAAATGTATGATGCTAAATGATAAATAATGAATAAGAAATTATATATACTACAAAAGCTAATAGTATATGATTATCATTTAGTACAAACCTATGTAATGCTTATTTTTAATTTTGGTTCTCATTAATCATTATTGCTTCTGAAACAAAAGCCTTAAGTAATAATCATTGGTATGTAAATTTTATTTTGTGGTAAATTTAGTTAGAAAATACGATTATTCAATTTAATACTGATAATAATAATTTTGCTTTTAGTAGATTTTAGTGTTATTTTTTTTTGCTCAACTTAAAAATACTATTATATTTTAGAGGCTGTTAAAAATTATCCAATAATTGAAAACAAATCAATTATGAAATTTGAACCTCATTTAGAACATATTATGGTGAGGGTAAGTGTAATCCTTTTTTAAAACATTATTTTATTATAAAGCATTAAAAAACAATAACTATTTGTGCACCAAATACTTTATATATATATGTATTATATTACTTATTGTTATTTCTAATTTTCTTTATGTATCGATGTATACTTTTATATTTCTGCAAAAATAAACTAAAACTGTTTGTTTGCCCCTACACCTTATTTTAGACATAAGGTATACTACCTTTACTTACCTCTAAATTTGCCTTATTTAAAATTAATATCCCATATTCTATGGAAAAATTTGCATCATAAGCGGTAATTAATGAGAAGACTTGGGAAGACAAAGTCCCCCAAATAGTTTAAATATAGGCCTTAGCCTTCTTGGCATTTCATATCTAATAATTGTAAAATCGATTTTTAATCTCTAAGAATRTCATTAATGTAAAAATAACCTTCAACAGTTTTATTAGTAATCATTTACACCAGACTATCCCGGTTTTGATGAACATACATAATAACATATTATTTTTAACTACCTAACAATTGTTATTTATWAAGTTTCAGATGATATTAAATTAGTTCTAATCCAATTAATTAATTTACTTAATAATTTCTGTTTAAAATACTTTTAATTGTTCAAGAGTAAGCACCTGATTGTTTTTAAACTTTCTCAAGGTTAAATGGYTTAATCCTTGTAAAATCTTGTTAGAGTTGTCTTATTTGAATTAATAATTATCTGAGCTCAGCCCCCATCCCAGCAGTTTTTCACCAAATTTCTGCGTATGATTTGCATTATAATTAAATCTTATTCCGCATAGCATTTATCAAAAATCCTTAATATTGATTAATAGGTAGTGCAAGGTTTCCACAAATATTACTTAATGATACATTATATAATGTAGCAATCAATTCTTATATTATGCTTATATTTTTCATTTTAATAGATAAAAGTAAAACTGTTTTACAAGAAATTTGTAAGATATATTGTTCTTACTAACCAAATGATATGTATTAAATACTTTTTAATACATTTATTTAAATTATATATGGTAGTTTGAAAATCAATCATATTTCTGAAAAATGTATTATTTCAATTGATATTTACTGTTATAAATAAATTGTATTTATTCAACAGGTCTTAAAATATGCTGTACGCCTTAATACTAAATATTCAATTCATACACAAAAATTATGGTGGGAAATATACTCATTGTCAAAACCATTTAATTTACCTCAATTGTTGGAAACGCTAAAAGAACACTGGGATATAATTGCACCTCATCAATTACTTAAAGCCCCCAAACAACAATTGGATTATATGGAATATTTTTTTAATGATCTTAAACAAATCTGTAAGTTAAAACTATGTTTCAATTATATATTTAACATTTTATTATAATTGAGTGAGCATGCGCAGATGTTATTTAAGCTATTAATTTTGTTCTTTTTAATAGCTCCTGAAATTAGCCTTAGTTGGACTGAGTTTTACAATTTTCTCAAGTACTGTACAGAAACTATTATTGCTTTACCTTATGAATATTATCATATTACTGATGTACTTTTATATGATTTGATGGTAAGATTCGTTATTATCTTATGTCTTAACTAAAACTGTCTCATAACATTTTTAATTTCTCAAAATCAATTATTTCTTTAAATAGCATACAACTTATTTATTGTTATTATAAAATATAAAATTTATATTTATCGGATATTTGTTTGATCAACATTGAGAACTTTTTTGAATAACAGTAAAAATGATGGTATTAATATATTCCAAAACAATGACGCAGCCTTAAATGCTTTGGCAGGTCTTGAGAGATATATCGAAAATTAAATGAAAAAACGGTACAGTACGGATTCGAACCCGCAACTCACATGCCAAAACTGGCGGCTGCATAACAATGAGCTACTGTGATCTTATCATATTAACTTCGATATTCTCTCACCTAGACTAAAGTGGCAGTGTGTTTGGTTGAGGAAAGTTTTGACGGGTTGCTAACGTGCTTGTACTTTAGTACTTGCTCCATGCATACTGTGTCAACAATGTTAGTTTTTATTTCATTTGCTTCTATTAATCTATCTACACTTAATTTATGTTTCAAATATTGTTGTAATATTTATTTTTGTAATTTTAGCGCTTATATAGTTATACATAAAATGCTTAGTTCTTATTAGTTTTGAAAAAACTTTTATTATTATTATTATTATTACTATTATTATTTTCTTATTAGTTTCCTATTTGTACTTTGGTTCAATTTTTTTGTTCTTACTTACTCGCAACATTACTTTGTTATTAAATGCTTATACAGTTTTAATTTATACTTAAATGTTGCACTATACAGCAATTAAGACTGTGCATTAGTGTATATGGTGGTGTCTTATTTTAGAATAGTTGAATTTGKTTATAATATTTGTTTATAGTTGTTTATCTATATTTTTTTAAACTAGTAATGATAGCTAATCACAAATACGTTATTATATTTTATTACATAGGTATATGATAATTGTGTTAAAATGTATTCCTAAATTTCAGAAAGCTAGAAGATTTTTGAAACAGAAACTAGATTGTACCACACCAGATGATAAGTCTTTTTATTCGCTAAGTAATTTAAGCATTTCAAACAATAATGATCTTAATATTGACAACATTTTGTATAATATTTCAAAAGCAGTTGATAAATTTTGGTAAATAATATATATTAATAATAATTTAAATACTTTAACAAAATCATTTTATTTTGTAGCTCATGTGTTTACGATGATAATGGATTTAAACGCGACTGGTCTGAAAATGATCAAAAAACTGGTGTTATTAAAACAATAAATGTTGATGAAAAAATTAATGACTATTGTAGTAAATTATCAAATATCATAAAAATTATGTTAAAGTATGTACCTAAAAAATTAATACAACTTAAGTAGGTATTATTACAATAGTTAAATAAAATAATGCATTTCAGAATAAAGTTATTAAAAGCTGAAGAAATACTGGAATCTCACATAATTATTGATGCATTTTTAAAAGTAATTACTGAATTTGATGACAAATCTGTCAGCTTGAATAAGGGAAATGTCATTGATTATTGTTTACTTAAAAATAAGTAAGTATCAGAAAAAATACCTAGTTTATATTTTCTTGTTAAATTGAAAAAAAAAATGTTTTTTCAGAAATTCTTTTTTTCATATTTTGATAACCTTTCAAAATAATTTGGCAGCCATGAAAAATTTGATTACTACCATTAAGTCTTAGTATTTATTAATTTAATGAGTTGATACTTAGTAATGTATCAAAACGTTATAATAGAAATATATTTTTTATTTTTATTTTAATTTTTTGCTACCTACCTATGTTAATTAATGATTTATTCTCTGTGTAACTTAAAATATATAAAAACATCTTATCAAAAGGGTTACTGTTGCTATGTAATAAACTACTCTCAACCTGTCTTTCTTACTCATGTATCTCCTCACATATGCTCAATGTAAATACATTTACATCTTATATCATGTGTTCACCAATTTAGGTAACACTGAAGAACACTGAATTTCTCGGCCGGATTATGTTGGAATAAATTGAATTTTTTTCACAAGCTAGTGGTATATAAATACACATTTTCAGATAAATTTCAAATGTTATTTGAATTTTTTTGTTCAATTATTTATAACATGTATAAAAAAAAAAAAAAAATAGGTAAAAATATTCAAAAATATTCAAAAAGTAACCAATAATAAATAATTATAAATTGTTTTTTGAATTTTATAATGAATTGTAAAAATGTATTATTTATTAAAATTTGAATGGTTCTCATTCGGTCAATTTTGGTTTTAGAGCCATGGTTAATTGGTCAAAATGACTTAAAAAATTAGTCTATCCGAATTTGGTATCAAAAATACCGGTTGCTATTAAAAAAAAATAAGTTGAATTGGGCATGCGTATGCTGAGATGGTTAAAAATTWAAAATTTATTGGAAAATGTGTATTTATATACCCCTAGCTTGTAAAAAAAATTTGATTTATTCTAACATAATCCAGCCTAGAAATTTAGTGTACACAAGGTATAGAAAAAAATTCTTTGTTACCAAAATGAAATATTACATCTATAAAACTAGTTATTATTAATATCAATTTTGTATTTATAGATCTATATTTAAGTATAAAAATACTTTAAGAAATTGCTTGAAACACTATGTGAATTGGATATCCCTCAATGGTCATTGGTCGTCCGTCAACCACCATCCAAAGTCTTAGTAGTTTTGGGGAACTGGAGTTTTTTGTTTGAATTTTATTATTTTATTATTGATAGATTTTTAGATAGAAAAAAAATTTAGATATTGCTTTCCCTAACCGAGGTGGTATTTAATTTTTATTGGCATTTAGTGCTGAGAAAACCTAACAGCCAAAGGCTTGCACCTATACAATACAATAACACAACATAATGGTAATCTCCGATTGTGATTGTAAATTTTCATACTGACAACTTACAATACATTATTTATATATAAACTTTTTCTCCATAATGATGAGAATGGTTCAAAAATATGGGGCAAGCGGGTGCCACTCTGCTATACAGTAGACGTCAAGTGATAGTTAATGAAGTAGCTTATTTTACCATAAGTATTTAACTTTTGTAAAACAATTGCATTTATTATATTAATTAATATTTAATTACTATTTATTATAACAATTAACAATGTACCTAGATACCCATATTTTATCATATTATCTTATTGTTATTTTTACTAACTTTTTCTTATGCTTATTATAGTTTTCCTAATATTAATCAACTAAACATAGGTTGATGTTAGAAATGATTGGTTACAAAATGACTAGATAATGTTTTAACAGAGTGCAATAATAAGTTTTTACACTATTATTACATTATTTACAGTATACAATTTGTTACATATGATTCATTTCATTTTTGAGCTTTGTGAGAACAGACAAGAACGGACATTTAACTCAAAATGTTGTGGACTGCTTGCTTAAGATGGTTGAAGAAACTTACAGATAAGTTCTTCATTTAGATTTAGATTTTTGATAATTTTAAGTCTATGCACTGTGTAGTGATGGTTCCAGGTAAGTTCTTTTTTATCTAACATTACTCCAAGATATTTAATACTGGCTGGACCTGTGAACTTTCTAGCCTGTTTAAAATCCTAACTCTTAAATGGGCTAGAATTTTTAATCAATGATAGTAAATAATAATATCTATCTAATGTAAAAGGCATCGCCTAGATTGTAATAATATAGGCATTATTACAATCTAGGCATGAGCAGTGGTTATCGTCTCCACTTAGAATTTGGCATTGTGGTTATTATCTCAACAAAATTGTACATTCGTCGTGTAAAATTATTGTATTTCAATTGTTGATGTTTATAAAACATAAATTGGTTTGAATCCAACTTTTGTCTGTAACCAATTCTGTTCAGAATATTGGCTAATTCCTTCATCAAATACATGGAACGTGTATGCATGCCGCGAGTATTGTGACTTATTCTGTTCACTTTTGTGTACCACTTTTCCGTGTATTAAAACGAGACTGGCTGTGGATTAAATCAATTTATTATATTAATGAATTAGTTTTAAAATCCTTGTTGGATATCTATTTATGTATTTATAGAACATAAACCTTACATTTCTCAACGACTAATGGTACGTATAACGACTGTTCATATTTTGGATGCGTTCCCTGGAAAATTGTTTGATTTATTTCATTGCATTTATCCGGATTACGAATAAGACGTTTGTGTATGCCTGTCTTGTGCGACCCCGGTATCATCCACAAACAACCATTCTCTAACGTAGCATCGTCCAAGGCTATCCAAAACCCGACTAATGAATCTGGTTCCGTGAAGAGAAATGTAGAGTCTTGATGCGAGGTGACTAAATGTATTTAAAAGCAATATATTATACCTTATGAGTTATCTTTATTGAAATATTTAATATGACATTATAGGGAGGCGCAGAACGTTTGGGCACAGGGCACATTGACCCAAAATTCAACACGTTCAGGTACAAATATGAAATATACACAACGTTTGGACAAGTAGAATAAAAATATTTTATAATTTTACCTGGTAAACCACAGAACATTTAGGTACCTACATATTATATACGTGTGATCTATAATTATAGTAGTATATAGGCAACGGTATCGGGTATCCTCATTTATTACTCGATACATTATCTCAATTAATACCAATTTTATTATTTTGATTATTATAGGTAGTAGGATATACAATGTGTCCCGGGGCGAAGTGACCGGCCGCCGTCATATGAAAGTATACCTAAAATGACGAAGAAATAATCTTTAAAGTGGGGGTCTAACTCTTTTTTTTTTTAGTTATGGGAAATTTAAGTTTTTTTAAACCAAACCAAAACTACCACGGATTTTTTTCATTTTAAAGCTATTTAATTGTCCTTTCAACCAACATACGCAATTAAACCACACTTATCTAAATTATTATTATTAAATTGAAAAAATTAAATTTTTTTTATCAATAGTTGGAATTTTTAAAATTAAATCTCGTATTACTCAAAATAATTCAATATTTAGTATGGGTTATTTTGGTTGTGTATTATTCAGTATTCTACAGGATAATATTACCGAGAATACCTTATAAGTTTGGTTTTCATATCTTTCATAATCGCAGAGTTATATATATCGCATATCTGCAAGGCTGGGTGTATCAAAGACCTCTGTATGGAGAATTTTGAAAAAATTGGGCCTTCATCCATATCATTTTCATCGATTTCGCAATTTAATATTTGGGGATAGTGCAGCAAGATTAGTTTTTTGTACGTGGCTCCTTCGCGAACACAGAACTGTGGATTATTTGAAACATATTTTATGGACGGATGAAGCCACATTTACCAGAACAGGTATAACTAATCACCGTAGCGTCCGTAACACACATATCTGGGCGATTGAAAATCCTCATGTTTTATGGCCAACTACAATCCAACATCAATTTTAAATTAATGTTTGGGCTGGAATGATAGATGATTTAGTTATTGGACCATATGTTTTACCTAATCGGCTATATGCGACTACGACTACGAATGTATTTGTAATATAGGTACCTACATACTTAGACTATAATCCTATTATGTCAGTATCAATTGACATTTATTTATTTAGGTATACCTGTACAAATTTATTTTTTCAATCAGTTGTGACAGTGTCCCAAGTTGTCATCATGAGTGGTATAGACGGTATAGTGAACTACAGCTAGTACGAACTCATTATTCATGGATAATCATACTGAAGTTTTTTAAACCCATCGTGATTAAACTTGTATTATTGTTGATAGTTTTTAATTTTGTGAATTTAAAATAAATAAAGACACCAACATTTTTCGTTGTACTAACATAACAGCAAAAATAATTCAAAATTATGGGTTACATTAACAAAAAAAATTATCATTGACCACCTTGTTATTCCAACCCCATCCCCCTTATTKTCCCTTTTAAATTCTGGGAATTCCTCCAAGACTTAAAGCGCAAATAGTGTGATATTTTAAATGAATAAAAATATGATTTTGTAACATTAAGTTCACTAAATAAAAATAGCTAATCTAAATAATCTTTAATACTTTTACTTAATATTGATTTGTTCTCACCTGAACAATTTATTAATATATCTTATAGGAAGAAAAGTAATTTTTTAGATGATGGTTGTAAATAGTTAATACTGTTAATAGGGTCTGAAAGTGCATAAGGATATCAATATCAATAGTTTTTACAATATGGTTTAAATCGATACATTTGCATCACCGATACCATCGTCCATCACCAACAATATTTCACTAATAATACACATACAATACAGTATACACTATAGGTAGGTACCTATATTATGTAATTCAATATTAGATAATTATGTTGAGTACAGATTGTGAAATGAATTTTAAATATTCTAAAATAGGTAGGTACCTATTGTAGATACTAATTTAATATGAGTAATATTAATAGGTGAATTAATAAAAACAATCGTAAGTACTAAGTTGTAACTCTAAATTTTAAATAATCTAGCTGAACTATTTTGCTTGGTGTATTTAAGTAGCTAATATTATATTCAGTAATCGTGTTATGATAGGTAGGTCGTAGGTAGGTACATATTATAGGTAGTAAGTACCACATAAACTTTACTGACCTTCGCCACCAACACCTGGGTTTTTGTAGATATACATGCTCTGCGGCACTACTGGCTTCACTAGGCCCAAAGCTCGGCAGACGTTTTTCACCTTGTTGCCGTACGTGCACGCCTCGAACGTCGGGTGCAACCTGTGTAAGGCATGCCCGACTTTATTCAGCGCCAACGAGGCGTCGACCATTAGGCATCCTCCGTTATCCAGCGCGGCTTTTTCGTAAAAAAATGATATTTTGTCGGCACTCTCCATGAAGTAATTGTCGGCCACCTAAGTATTAATATTATAAATAGGTGTTATAATATTTATCATAAGTCATAATCGAGTGCACCGCGAGGTACACACGAGATATATTATGCAGAATATCTGGATATTTGTTGAGTAGGTGTCTAGTACCGTTGTAGAAACAGGAAATTATGAATAAGATGATTTCTTAATTTTTAGGAATGCGTTCATTTTGGACAAGTTAAATTTCCAAGAAATTAACTTGAATGTGATTATTTGCTATTTATTTWATAGAAACTTGAACGTTTTTGGTGAGTTTGTTGACTTTCGTAATCTGGTATAGGACATGTTTGTTTTTATTTGCTACCTAGCTATATATAAATGTTGTACTTATACATTGAAGAATAAAATATRCATTTCATAAATTGATATACTACGTTACTAGTTGGTATAAAAAAACGAAACGGCGCGGCGTGAGCTATTTACATATTTTCATTAATAATTTGTAATTCTTATTTTGACRAAATATAAGTAAAATGATTAAAATGCAATGCTACATTGCTACGAATTTTTGTTTATGGCATCTAGTTTTAACAGTGATATTTCAACAATTATTTGAACAGTACCTAAAAATGATTAATAGCAAAGATACGAGGTCAGTAACATTACATAACTTATAATTGATAGTTTGAACATACATGATAGTTAAGATTTATATATATGTATATATATATATATATATATGTATATTCATACAATGTAATATAAGAGAGCGCAGAATTGAATAGTAGGTAGGTGTAATGAACAAGAAAAGTAACAATGTGAGATAGCGTAATATTGCAATGATAAAATATATAATAATAAATTGCTACGAATTAAGTTTTAAAACGTATTATTACAAATTTACAAATAATACCTATAAGGCATGACTATCGTGTACACTGTACAGGAATATACAGCTGAGTTTTTCTTCGAAATTATTTTTAAAATTTATTCCAAAAAGGGGGGAGGAATAGGTAATCTTTGTTTTTTCTATTCTTCAGTTTGTAGGTGTTGATTGTACCTCGTCATTGAGTAAGTCGTAAGCCATTGTAATGTACCTACATGTTTCATTTGAATTCGATAGTAAATTATTACATATAAAACAAATCCCTACGTAGGTATTATGTATTTATTTTTTGTTGGTAAAATTCTTGTAAAGGAATCAAAAAATTTATGAACTTTACTGGATCATGAAAGGATATCTATCATTATTTCATACTTGTTTTGTTTCACTGGTTGCAAACACAGTTTTAACATCAGCCGGCACATTCTCGGTGAGTTTTTCTCCTGCATCCTTGAGTTCCAWTGTCTCTTTTTCATTCAGAAAATTTTTTATTACAACATAACCATCTTGATCAAACTGTTATAAAAAATATATTTTAAACTCCATTAATTTATATCACAATGTCACATTATGACCCTAATAAATAAATAATAATAAACTGTACAACGTTAGCGAAATGTATTCTGTATTGTATATACTATATTATATTATATTTACTTTTGATTTCAAATCTTCATAATTCATTTTTCCGTCTTGCGACATCGACTTAAAGGTCAAACTAAAATATATATTAATTATAATAATATTTTATTAATATCATCGCAAATCGAAATATCGTATATCGTATATTATATATAATATTATGATATTATGATATTATACATAGTGCTTAAATAATGAATTGGGAACAGAAACGGGATGCAATGTATAAAAAAAAATGCGAGTATCTTCCTAGATATTTAAATGCCTTATTGGTTAGGATATAATAATTAGAAAGGATTCTCAAAAAATTTTTTTTAAAAGAAGAGGTTTTGTCTGTCTYATCCTCTCCCACATACACCATCCAAAACCAGGAATAGGATTTATTTATGTGTATTATACAGTATATATTTATTCAAACTCTTGCATATAGGAGTAGCATGGTGTATTTATACAGGAGGGCTATAACCTATTGTTTTTCTGTCCATCTGGTAAACAACATATAAGGTATATTTTAAAAATTGAACTAAAAAAAGTTTACGGTATGGGTGACTCGACGAAATTCCAGTGGGGCTAAGATTCCTTAGATCCCCCCTCCTCCCATTCTACATGTATGCTTATGCCAGGTGACATAGCGAGATAGAGTTTTGGGGACCAGTGACATGGGAGAGGAGAAAATAAATGTTGATCATGGCTATTATATTATTTTATACTAAAGTACAGCATTTAATTTCAGATTTCTCTGCATACCTGGTTATTTTTAAAGCTGTTGTCTTGATATAATTGATGTAGGTATTTATAATATAYTACACATTTACCAAAAWTGATTAAATATTAAAAACAAATTTTTCTTTCTGTGTCCTTGCTAATTTGATAGCCACCAAAATATTGAGAAGAGACGAAGGAGACGACGCGTAATGAAATAGTTTGAATAACTTTGCAATATAATACATGCATTAATAACCAACTATACTCTATTCGAAGAGTGATATGTTAATATTATGTTATACCAGTTAGCAACTGGTTTTCGGTTTTTGTCCGGCGGTATGCATTTCCAACATAATGGCATAGGAGACCTGTGGAAGGGGAAATAGTGCATAATAGTTAGTGCCTATAATATTCTCTTTAGGAAGTTTGGAACTGATTATTGTCGGACCAAATAAACTATTGAGAGTTACACTGTTTACTGTTGAACAATAGAAATTCATGTATACAGGGCGTAACAGAAAAACTGACTAATGAAATAATAATTATTGTAGGATAATCAATATTTAAAAAAAAATGTATACATAATTTATAAACACTTGCACTRTATTTATAGTATAGCTTTTTTTCATTTTTCATTTTARATTTAAATTTAAAATTGTTATTTTTTTGGAAAATTTCAAAACAGCCAATTTGTAATGTGATTATAAAAACAAATTTTATGGTTAAAACATTTGTCTAGTAATTTATAATTTATAATTTTTTTAAATATCAATTTTTTTTTTGGAGTAAATAACTTAAAACGTAATACAATTTTTCTTAAATAATATTATTTTATTTTTGAGAATTTCCATTAATRAGTATAATATTATGGGTGCCAATACTYAAAAAAAATATTTATTATCCATTTAATTTTCATTGTTTAACTAGCAACATTTATTTTTTATTTTTTCTGTTACAGCCTGTATAGCTACGTTAATTATTATAGTGTACAAATTACAAATTACAAAGTACAACTACTCGTACGTGTATTATAGTGTTAAAGACTATTTAATACCTATACTATACAATCGTATAATAATATATTATTTATGTATTACTATACATATATGTTATATATTATATATAATAACTGTCATAAATCATAATAAGACAGCTCGTTAAACTTTTAGTTATTATAAAATGTTGTATATATTTATATGCTCTGATTAAACAATATCAATTGACATACATTTTGAAAAACAAATAGGTACTTACCTAGATACTTATTTATAATACGTGATGTAAACGGTTTTAAATGACCTGTATATTAAAGTATTTAAGGCTACTTTTAACTAACTTTTATTATCTATAAMGGTTATAATTTATGAGTTTTATATTATAAACAAATTGAATCAATCAAATATTCAAATATCAATAACCAACGTTATTGGTCTAATATCACTCCTAAATATACCTATTACGGTAAACAGAAAAAAAGTACCGTGAAAAACAACTTCCATAAAAATGTCTCTTATTGAAAAAGCCGTCATTAATAAAATCATACAAAAAAAGCGGGCAAGTCGTGGATGTCGCTCTGCTGTACAGTAGGTTACAAGTGGGTTACTGTAATGGATGGAATTAAA